TCCTCTCCCTACAACACTGCTCTGAGCCCCCTCCCACTGTGCACCCCCTCCTGCACCCCAATCCCCTTCCCTGAGCCCCCTTGTACACCTGCACCCCTCCTCTGCCCCAACCCCTTGCCCTGAGCCCCTTTCTACACACCGCATCCCCTCCCACACCCCGCACCCCAACCCCTGCCCCAGCCCTACATTCATGGCCCTGCATGCAATTTCCCCACCCAGATGTGGCCCTCGGGCCAAAAAGTTTGCCCACCTCTGGTCTACATGGAGAGCAACACTGACTTGCCTTCGTTGATCAACAGGCCTAAGCAATTAAAGGAGGACTGGATCTTCTCGATGATAACCTCTACCTGTTTGCCTGGATCTTTCCTGAATCAACCAGTCTCCTAGGTATGGAAACACTTGCCACCTGCCCTCCTGAAATGTTTCACCACCACTTCCCTATATGTTGTGAAGACTTGAGAGGCTGAAGACCGACCGAAGGGGACGACAGAATTGATAATGAACTTTTTCCACAACAAACCCTTAAAAACCTCTTGTGGTTATGGTGAATGGCCATAATGAAAGTAAGTGTCCTTTAAGGGCTTGTCTATACAAAGGATGAGTTTGCGGTAAGCTGGGATGTGGGCACTAGCCTGCTGCAGACTAATTATGCGGATTCTGCTGACATGCAAACATTAGTGTAAACAAGCCCTAAATCATGGGCAACACATCAATCGTCAGGATCTAGGTATGGGATAATACAGGATAGTAACCATGCAAAACTTTCATTATTATGTATTTGTTTAGGTTCTGCAAAACTAGATTAGGTCTGTGGCCTCCCTTGGATTTTGGGAGAATGAAGTATTGAGAATAGAATCTCTTCCCTGATGTTGAGGAGGGTGGAACTTCTATGGCCGCTGGCTATAAAAAAATATTACATTTTTTGAACAAGAACAGTCTTGTGCGATTGGTCCCTGAAGAGAGATGAGGGAGGACGACCAGGAGGTCAGAGAGAAACTGCAGTCATATTCCAGGTCTATAGTGCTTAGCGACCAGTTATCGGTTACAAGTTAGCAACCAAGCAGCTAGGAAGTCAGATAGTCTGCTGCGAAAGGGAGGACAGGAGATATTAGACACTGACAGGGTGGTATTTTGCCTTGACTTTGGAGACAAATAAGACTGTTTAGATAGCACAGGTTGTCTCAATAAAGTTGAAGCAAAAGGAGGTCATTTTCTTCTTTGGAACTTATGGCGTGTTCATTTGCTCAGGCTGCCTTGTTGGATAGAAAAAGAGGTCTGTGCTGAGTCTGAAACGGTTTCCTCTTAGGATCTGGGATAAAAGTCACCAGAAACCTAAGGGTAGAGCCCTAATGTCTTTTAGGGAACACAGAATTTTGTACATCTTCCCAGAAAACAAGTTACAGTCCTCAAAAGGAAGATCCTCAGTCATCTACTGGACTTCTGTTGATATCCCAGATGACTGCAGCTAGGAAAAGTGATGCACTGTGACGGAATGCCATCACTCGTCACAATCTGCACCAGCCAAGGCCACCTGAAGTGAGGTTCTGGCTACCAAATTCAGTAATCATTGCCTGATCCTGACTAGGCCAAGTAAAAGTAAGTCTGTACACAAAAATTTAGCCATACGGCCCCATACTAGTCAGATTTATTACAGCCAGAGCAGTGCTTAAATCCCAGGGACTTAGGCATGCCCTGGTCCTGAGGCAAAGCAGAAGTCCAAACAGCAATAAAAAAGAAAAAAACAAGAACCATTAACTATACAAACTATTTACAAAAAGTTTAGAAAAGTTTTTTGCGAGAAAAGGAAAAGTTGTATGATGAGACACACACTGGCTGACCATAGGTAGTGAGAAGGAACTGAGGGAATGGTAGGAGCAGCTCTGCCCTTTATGCCATCAGCTAGTAGTATGTGGAGGTTGCATGCACCTACCAGTGTGGGTAAAAATTCTCCAGCTTCAGTGCACTGGGCACACACACCCCAGAAGTGGAATGGACGTGTGCAATCACTCAAAGAAATTACAGTTAACAGAGACCTATCCCTGGACTTCCCATCACCCAAATAGATTCTTCCTTCCCCCTTTAAGTCTAAGATACACTATATGTAGATAAAAATACTTACAAAATAATTTTCCACTTGGAATTCGTAAGTGTACGGCTTCAAGAAGAATGACTGCTCTTCAGAGGTATCTGGACAAAAGCTAACCGAAAACTGGCACTGCAAAGAGGGGGGAAGTTCTTTTGTCCACTTCAATTCCCACACAAAGAATACTGACTGCTTACTGTATATGTGCTGAAAGAAAATTATTCATCCATAGTATGAACTCGTGTCTTAATACCAGGAGCTTTCTATACTGCTATTCTAATGAAGGGGAATTCTTACCCATAGTCTTGTTATATACATGACCTCCAGAACTTTTATTATATTATTTATACATTCATCAAACCATGAAACTATAACCATTTAACAGTTCTCACAATCTAAAATCCCCAGACATGTACTGGCTCAGATTGTTACAATGAGGAGGGAAAAGTTTCATTGCCAGAATCAGTATTCCAGGCATGATAACTTTTTTCCTGAAGAGTAAATATAAAAAAGTTAAAAATAAATAAATAAAAATTAAGTTTGCTGCTCAGGAAAATACACAAAACATGACTGTCTTAAAACCAGGCACAAAGCAGATTGATACCTATTACAGAGCACTGTTTTGTCATTGCATCTCAATTCTAGTGTGCAGCTCCTGAGCTACTCCACTTTTTAGCCATTCTTGACCACAGAATGGCCAAAACCACCAAACTATGTGGTAGCTTTTTTGCAAGAGGAACAAGAAGGGATTAGGAGACCAACGAGAAGGTTGTTCACCCTGTGCAGTAACTGTGGTTCTTTGAGAACTGAGGTTCTTCGGGTGCTCCACAATAGGTGCGGCAGCACACCATGCGCCTGGGATCGGAGATCTTCATTAGCAGTTTCCATTGGACTGCACACATGCACCTCCCCGTCTCGCACTATGAGCATCATGTATATATAGTGCTGTGCTATCCAACCACCACCCAGTTCCTTCTCTACCGCAGAACTCATCTTTCAGCTCTGAAGCAGAGGGGTGGAGGGCGGGTAGTAGAGCACCCAAAGGGACACTCATCTCAAAGAATTTCAGTTACTGCACAGGGCGGATTAACCATCTCTTCTTCTTCAAGTGATGTCCCTATGGATGCCTCCACTGTAGGGACTATAAAGTAGTGCCCCTAGTTGGAAGGCTGGGGCTTTGGAGTGGCATTTAATGCGGATGATAGGACAGCGTGTCTTAGTACAGTATCAGATGCTGAGTCATGCATAATAGAAGATGCCGATGTGGCTACTTTGCAAATGTCAGCAATCGGGACACTGTTGAGAAAGGTAATCGAGGTGCAGAGAGGGAGGGTGGAATGTGCTTTACTTCCAGGAGGAAGTCATCAATTGTATAGTTGGTAGGACAGGTGTACACACTGCAAGAT